GTTATGTTATGTTATGTTATGTTATGTTATGTTATGTTATGTTATGTTACATTTATGTTGAAGTCATCTCCTATAGCCTACAGTATATTGCTGCCTGATTTTTTAAGCTTTTTAGTTTTCATTCATTTTCTAAATTAAAAGCTGCTTAATTTTTTTATTTTTAAAAATATTTTTTCTCATATTAGAGAATCCTGTGTTGAAGTGCTGTTTCATGTCTTTGGAGTCTGTAAACCCAGGGTGTTTCAAACTTGGTAACTAAGATGTGCGGACTTCAGCTCCCAGAATTTCCGAGTCTGCGTGCTTTGCTAGGGAATAATTCTGGGAATTGACATCTACCCATATAAAAAGTTGCCCAGGATTGAAAAGTACTGCTATAGATTTAAAGTCTGTATTTTTTAAAAAAATATATACCTCAGCTATGTTAATAATTCATTGTCCCTCTCTGGCTTCTTCCCCCTGCTCACTTTATGTTCTCGCAAATGGACTCTGGTCCCCAAAAGCTCAGCCTTTAAAGTGATACGCATTTTTCTCACTTTTATTTGTGGCTTTATGAGAGTTTGCGTGGTCCTCTGTATCCTTGCACATCCCTGCTGCAACCCACAGACCCTGTTTTTTCTGCTATGCTACCTCTTTCTTGATAGTTATGAGAATACTGGACAAACTTGTGTCTTCTTCACATGATCTTGTCCCCACAGATTCAGGAAGAATTGGAGTGATCCAATAACTACTCCAGCCCATTTTTGCGCTTGATTTTTACAAAAGGATGGTAGTTTGGAGGCAGTTCACTAGACTGTGTAGGCCAGGAATAATTCTGTATGAAATATCTGAGAGGCTGAGACCTGATTCCATTTTTTAAAATCTCTCCAGCATCACTGAGCGCAAAGTTGCCAATGTGTCTCAGCCCAAGCAGGAACCGGAGTCTGGCCCAGGCCAGAGGCATCTTCTAAGCATTACACAAGAAGCTCTTGAAATGCCAGAAGAGGAGCAGGAGGAACAGCAAGAGGAGACCCTGGCAAGGCCAGGCAAGGCCCAATTCAGGTAATTTGGATGCAGAAAGTGTGAGGGGAAATAATGTGCCAAGAGAAACAGCTGGCCGCAATTTCCCTACATTGTTTCTGAACTTCGGCAACTTTAAAGAATTCTGGGAGCTGAAGTCTACCCACCTCAAAGTTGCTGAGGGTGAGAAACATTGATTTAGAGTGCCATTGATGCTGGAATGATCCTGTGTTGTTGTTTTTTTGTTTTTTGTTTTAAAGCTGCAGTATCTTCCTGCTCAACCAGATGAAAGACATCGTAATTGTAATGATATGTGGGAAGGAAAGGGATGCAGTGGCTCAGCTGTTAACTTGCCCCAGCTCCCAGCTCTTGCCCACCTAGCAGATTGAATACCTGCAAATGCGAGTAGATAAATAGGTATCACTTGGTGGGAAGGTAACAGCGTTCTGTCCGCCCCGGTGCATAGTATAGTATAGTATAGTATAGTATAGTATAGTATAGTATAGTATAGTATAGTATAGTACAGTATAGTATAGTATAGTATAGTATAGTATAGTATAGTACAGTACAGTACAGTAATAGTATAGTATATAGTATATAGTATAGTATAGTAATAGCATAGTATAGTATATATCCTGTTTCTCCAACAATACGGCCTCCCTCAATAGGAAGTCCCAGCATGTTTTATAGGCATGAAATGAAATTAAGCCCCCCCACCCCCCAAATCAAGGCCTATATTAAAACATGCAAAATGGGGGGGGAATGGTGGTGGGGCCCTTGCTGTTAGGAAGTACTTTTGTTGCATACCCGGATATGGTGCTGCCTGTGTTGACCCCGATACGAAGTGCCCCACCAACGCCGAGGTCAACATCCAAGCCGTCGCCGCCCGCCCAAAGATGCAAGGGAGGGGGGAATTAAGTCACCCTCGAAAAGACGACCTAGCCATTTTTTCGGGGCTCAAAAAAAAAAAAAGACCCGGCCTTATTATATGAGAAACACGGTAGTATAGTAATAGTATAGCATAGTAATAGTATAGTATAGTGTATAGTATAGTGTATTTTGTAGTGTAGTGTAGTAATAGTAATAGTAATAGTATAGTATAGTATAAATAGACCATGGAAGTGTCTGCCGATAATGCTGCGACTCGCTTTGCTAAGCAACTGAGATGAGCAAAACCCCTTGAGTCAGAGACAACTGGACAGGGGAAACCTTTATTTTTACGTGGGAAGGAAAGTGGAAGATGCAGAAAGCATCAGAAGTGACCCTCTCCCGTTTTGAGGAAAGTTAAAATAAGGGAGGGAAAAGGTACTTTCATTTCTGCAAGATTCTGCTCTTGTAACCTTACACTCGAAATAGTGTTAAGACTCATGGTTGGTGCTTCTTGTCTGGACTGCCTTGAAGGGCTGACAGTAGTGCAGTTGTCTTTCTATATTTTTTTAAACGAAGACTTACTTGTAGGACTAAACGCTCCAAGGGCAGCTTGCTTATTGTGATACTGATGCGGTCATGAGCCAGCATGTCTGGCTAGGGAATTCTAGGAGTTGAAGTCCACACAAGTTGAGAAACACTTTGCAGCAATTGGTTCTTGTCTGCAAATGAGGGGTGTGAGTTTCTTTCTACCCAGCGTTGCCTGTTCAATGGCTGAGAATTTTGACCATACAGGTAGCCCTCGACTTACGACCACAACGGAGCCCAAAATTTTTGTTGTTTAGTGAGACATTTGTTAAAGTGTGTTTTGCCCCGTTTTAGGACCTTTCTTGCCACAGTTGTTAACTGCAGGTGATACGTTAGAAACCCGGGTGTTAACTGAGTTGGGCTTCCCCATTGACTTTGCTTGTCAAAAGGTCGCAAAAGGGGGTCACGTGACCTTGGGACATAGCTGTGGTCATAAGCATGAGCCAGTTGCCAAGCATTTGAATTTGGACCCCATGATCTTGGGGATGCTGCAAAGGTTGCAACTGTGACAAATGTTCATAAGTCACTTTTTTCAGTGCCATTGTAACTTTGAACCAGTGGTGGTATTCTACTGGTTCGGCCCAGTTCAGGCGAATCGGTAGTAAAAAAAACCAACCATTTGGCTGAACCAGTAGTAAAAAAAATGTCCGATGATCAGCTGCGCGACGATCAGCTGTGCTGCATGATTTAGATTAGCTAGAAAGCAGGAAAACATTGGATTTTTTGATTCCTAGCTAATCTAAATCGTGCAGCACAGCTGATCCCCCCCCTCGCTGTTGTACTTTCCTCGGAAGGCTTCAAACTGTTTCTTTTTTCAGTGCCTCAGAGGCTTCCCTGAGGCCCAGTAGGCCAAAACAGGGTGTGGGGGAGGGGTGCTGAGAAAGTGGGGGGGGAAACACCACATAGCTAGGCCCACTCAGACACATGACCACCTTGGCCACGCACACAGAACCAGTAGTAAAAAAAAATTGAATCCCACCACTGCTTTGAATGGTCACTAAATGAACTGTTTGTAAGTTTAGTTTAGTTCATTGTCATTGCGCCTCGTACAACGAAATCAAGTACCATCTTCAGTGCACATCATGACCATGAAAATAAACACAAACACACATCCTTCAACCCCCCACCCAAGTTGTGGACGACCTCTAATTTTCTCCTTTTTCCATGTTCAGGAACTTGTCAACTCCCTTCTCAGACATGAAGGACCTCATGTTGAGGGACCTGGACGAGCTGTTCCTCGCTTCAGATTGCCGCCAATTCAACCGCACTGAATCGCTCCGGTAGGTCCTGCGGAGGAAGTCGTGGATACACCTCAGCTGTTAGTTTCGAGCAGTGATTCTCAGTCTTGGCCACTTCACACGGGCGGACTTCAACTCCCAGAATTTCACATGTTGAGAAACACTGGTTTAGAGGCTTGCAGGTCGATAAGATAATCCTCCATCGCTTCCTCTCCCACCTCCAGGTTGGCAGATGAGCTCAGTGGCTGGGTCCGGCGACACCAGATCAACCGGCGGAAACCTTTACAAACTCGCAAAGCAGCTCAGAGCAGCCAGGTGGGACAGGACAACGTCTTGAGGGGAAGGAAAAAGGGCACTGAGCAGGACTCCCAAAAGCTGAGCAAGGAGTATCCGGTAGCTTGTGAATAAGAAAAAAAAAAGGAGGGGTAATTAAAATTTAAGACATCCTGGTGCCTGTCCTAGGCACCTCTCCCATCCTTATCTACAAACCATGTCTTTGGGATTTCAGGAGAAGCCACAAAAGAAGTCTCCGAGCCCTTCCCACTATGTTCCAGCCAGTCCCCCCAAATACCCCGAGGGGTAAGTTGCTCTTGTGGCAAATTCTCTTGCCTTCTCTCTGAGGATTTTGCCTAGAGTTTTCATCCCAAAGGGAAGATTGTAGTTTCTTCTACTCTTTGCTGACCACTTGTGGGTTTTCCTCTCGTTTTATGTTGAAAGCGGTAAGATTCCTTACAGGAGTATCCAAGCTGCTCGTTCCACTCGGATGTGTAGCAGAGAAAATTACTGCGGTGATCCGTAGTGCGGGAGATCCTAACTCTCTTTTTCCAGTTATTTCAAGGAGGGCATAATTATCGTTCCCGCTTAGTTGGCCTCCTGAACCTTTCTTGAGACAGCTGCCAGTATGAAATAGAGTTGGAAGGGACCTTGGATGACTTTTAGTCCAACTCCCTGCACAGGCAGGAAACCCTAGAGAAATGATTGTCCAATCTCTTCCTAAAAACTTCCAGTGTTGGAGCACACATAACTTCTTGAGGTAAATTGTTCCACTGATTAATTGTTCTCATTGTCGGGAAATTTCTCCTTAGTTCTATGTTGCTTCTCTCCTTGATTAGTTTCCACCCATTGCTTCTTGTCCTGCCGTCAGATGCTTTGGAGAATAGCTTGGAGAATAGCTCCTCTTCTTTATGGCAAATAGAAACATGGAAGAGACAAATAGTTGTCAAGTGCAGAAAATCAGGAATCCTGCCTCCAATTCAAAGAAATATATAGGTTTATTACAAGGTTAAGCTCTCTACAAGAACCTGAACTACTAAAGCAAAGCAAATTAGTGGTAGAGAAAAGAGTCAATGGAATTCAAGTGGGGTGGATTTAGATCTCTTGTGGGCATAAAGGGACTCGAGACTTATGACGTGTTTGACCCCTTCCTCCGCCTTAGCCTGATCATCATCTACAATAATTGTTGCTCTCTTTTCTAAGCTATGTATCACTGAGCCCCCTTTTTTCTCTCTCCATCTCCATTTCAGACTCCAATGTGGTACCCTACGTGCTTTGTGTCAGGATAGGGAAAGAAATGCTTTGTTTCTTGTTTTTTTCCTCTCCTCTTAGGGATTCTCTGAGACAGTTACAGGTGTACCATCATCCCGATCATACAGAGCATGACTTCATGGATGCCATTGACCGCCGAGAGGATACTTTTTACGTTGTGTCCTTCCGCAGGGTGAGTGAAGAGCTGTCTGCATTCCTTCAGCCTCCCAAATAAACCAGTCCAGGAAACCAAGGATGAACTAATTCTACTTAATTGCATAGCTGCATTAACCGAATCCTGAGCAAGCATGAACTTACAAATCCCCAGCTGTCTTTTTTTCACTGCTTGATTGGGTTTCTGTTCAAGTTTCTTTCTCTGCCCCTTTTTCAGTTGTGGGCTTCCCCCATTTTTATCTGATCATTCTCTAGGCCAGAGGTCTCCAAACTTAACTACTTTAAGGCTTGTGGACTTCAACTCCCAGGATTCCCTGGCCAGCATGGGAATTCTGGGAGTTAAAGTCCACAAGTCTTAAAATTGCCCTATTTGGAGACTCCCTGCTTCTAGGCAGCATCTCCTCCCTTCATTTCTCAAGGTTATTCCCACATAACCGTTACAGCAGTTGCTGTTGAACTGCAGAGAAAGCTTTGTAAACAGTAGTTATTTTATTAAGTTTAGGAGGTGATTTTATGAAGGCCAAGCCAGTGTGTTTGGGAGTCCAGCTTTTGCTAAAACTCTTGCGACGAAAAATTAAGATAGCAAGATAGGAAACTTTCACATACTGAAGAGAAAGGCCGAAATTCTTGTGCTGAAAAACAGGCAACGGGAAGAATGCAGAGGGAGAGAAGCAAATAGGGAATTCCTTTTGAAGTGTGAGAATATGCCGATGTCTCTGTCTCTTAGGTAGAAAATAAATTATAGCTCCTTTAGAAAGCCAAGAACTTAAATGAAGGAAAGTGAGGCAAGCCTGTCGGGAAATTTGGAGTCTCCAATGAGAAGCGGTGGTTCCTCTTAAGAAAATCTACTCTGTTTAACAGTGAAAATTCTGGGTTATACAGTATATCGTTAAGGTCCTTCTCTCCTCTTCTTGCTGGAAGTGGCAGGTGTGGTTCCAGTCTCTGGGAACCACTCCAATTATCTACTCGTGCCGAGGGAAGTTTCAATTTGAAAAGCTCTCTGGTGCCAGGAGACCAATGCTGCTGGGTCAGTCATAGAGCTCACACGACGGGGTGGAGTCAGGAGCTGAACTGGGGAGAAGAGCGTAGTTAAGAGATTGGCTACCCTGGAATCCCCGAAGGGGAGGAAGTGACAGGGAATCCTGTAAATCAGAGGTCTCCAAACTTGGCAACTTGAAGACTTGCTGGCTGGAGAATTCTGGGAGTTGAAGTCCACAAGTCTTCAAGTTTGCCAAGTTTGGGGGCCCCTGCCATAAACCCTGGAGTGCTTATCTAGTTCTACTAGAGAGGGCAGTTCATCTTGTGAGATTCCTGTAAACAGACGAATAGCAATAAACACACTGCCCGGATCAATTATCTATCTGGTTCCTTACCTCAGGGGTCACCCAATTGTGTTCCCCAAAGTAGAGAGTGCGAGGCGTGCGGTGTGTGGCGTGCCAGAAACCAGTCCAGGCAAACATACCAAAAGTCCCATCCGCAGGATGTAGGCAGCATGCGAAACCACACCTCCCCACCAGTCTGGTTCCACGGAAAAACCTCTCTCCACGGAACCGGTCCTTGGTACCCCAAAAGTGTCATTGCTGCCTTACCTGACACAGGTCTCCTTTTCTTCTTAGGACCACCTGCTGCTGCCTGCCATCAGCCACAACAAGACCTCTCGCCCTAAAATGTCCCTGGTGATGCCGGCCATGGCTCTGAACGGTAAAAGAGACCGAACCTCTCGGGGAGAGGCTGGGCTGCGGCCGCCTTCCTTCCAAAAGTAAGGCTGCATTTCAACGTCTCTTTTTTCTTTTCTTTTTCTCCAGAGAGCCTCTATGGCTCCTCCCTGGGCTACGAAGTCATGATGCAGGTCGACTGCGAGGTCATGGACACCCGCGTTATCCACATCAAGAGCTCCACGGTGCCCCCTTTCCTGAGACGCCAAGGCACCACCCCATCCGACAACCGCACCCAGCCGTCCCCTCCGGCCTTTTCTGGGAAACCCCCCCGCACAACGTTGCGGTCTCATCGCTCCACTCTGTCCACGGCACGGCGGCATTCCCCTCGCACCCTCTACTTTGGGGAACACGGAGGGGGCTAGCGGGAAATCTGGAAAAGGTGGAGAAGACATTCCTGGAAGTGACATTCTTCCAACCAGGGACTTGGATGTCCCTCCCGCCCCCCCCGCTCCTCGGGGCCACCCCTGCCCGAAAGGCGGATGGGTATACCGTACGCTGGTTGGGCAGATCTGGGGGCCTTTACTCTCCTCTCTCCCACCCCTCAAGCCTCTTAAAAAGTTCCTTGGCCCACGCCCAACTGCCGCTTCCAAGAAGGCTTCATGGAGTTTTCTCCCACAAGGAGCGGGTCGCGTGGTGAGCTGCTGCTGCTGCTGTGGGGCCCGGGGCCCGAGCATTGCCCCAAAGAAACCTCTGGCTCATCTCCTTGGGGTGGGGGGAGGCCAAGAGAGATTGCTGGGTGAAATAAGGGAAGGACACAAGAGGTGTCCACAACTACTGTCTGCGAGAGCTGGGAAGCGTGAAGAGTGTAAAGAAGGATGAATGTTATGTCTTTTCCCCAAAAGAGGGAGAGACCGAAAGATGAGAGAGTGTGAGTGGGTTGAGTGTGTGTGTTGAAGTGTGTATGCTGTCCTCTTCAAAATTGCTCTGGTGGCACTTAGGCCTGCTGTCCTGGGTCCTTTTTTGTGTGTGTGTTTGTATTTTCCCTAATTGTGGTTTTTTTTTTTTTTTAAATAAAGAATAGCTACAAACAAACTTCATACTTAACTCCTCATTTTTTGTTCTAATGTCAAAACAGAATAACCCACCAGCAAAACAACACAAACCCAAAAAAAGCAAAGTGTTGCGTTTGGTGTATTTGCAGGTGGGTATTTTGTTTTGTTTTGTTGCTGTGAATCAGCCCTGCAATAATACACGTGCAGTAAATATTTGTTGGAACAGCCGATAAATATATTCTGGTTTAAGACTGAGCTCCAGTTTCAATATTTCTCCTGGGAAATCCTGCATGTTTTTACATCCTGACTCAGGTGCTTTAACACATTTCAAACCTTAAATATTCAGAAAACATTTTTCTGGTCAAAATCAGAAGCTATTTTAACTGTACCCGTTATTGAGAATATGTAGCTCCATTGATTTTTTTTTTTTTCTCCTCAGTGTAAAGTTATAAGCAGGCTTTGGGATTTTGCTGGTGAAATAGAAGATAGATGGTGCTAGAAGGAAAAGTGGAACAAACTGTCTAAAAATGTGGAGTGTTTGACAGGTTTTAGACAAAATTTCTTTGTCAAGAGCAATGAAATGGAGATGGAGAAAGAGATTGGGGGGATATCCTGTGCACTAATGAAGCTGGATACATGTATACCGTATGCACAGACATGTACTGTATTTCACAATGCAGGTAGTCCTCAACTTTAACAACCATTCATTTACTGACCAAAGTTATAAAGACATGGAAAAAAGTGACTACTCTTATAATTGTAGTATCCCTGTGGTCATGTTATCAAAATTTGGGCACTTGGTGACTGGCATGTATTTTACAAAGGCTGTTGCAGTGTTGTGCATTTGCCAATTGCACTTCCCGATCAGCTTCCAACAAGGAAAGTCAGTGGAGGAATCTGGATTTTCTTAAAGGCTGCAGTGATTCACTTAACAAAAATCATAAAAGAGGGTGTGTCTCACTTAACAACCTGGCTTAATGGAAATTCTGATCCTAATTATGATTGTAAATTGGAGACTTACCTGTATATACAAACTACCAGCCTTTAAACCATTTATTAGAAAAATGGGAAATCAACTGCATAACCCAGGTAAAGAATTTGAATATTATAGTTGGCAAAATGTTCAAATACAGGTAGTCCTCGACTTGCAACATTTCGTGTAGTGAATGCTTAAGTTACAACAGCACTGAAAAAAAGTGACTTATGGCCATTTTTCACACTCATGACCGTTGTAGCATCCCCATGGTCATGTGATCAAAATTCATCTGCTTGGCAACGGACTCATTTATGACCTTTGCAGTGTCATGGGGTCATGTGATTATAAGCTTTTGTGACCTAACAAGCCAAGTCAATGGGGAAATGGGCATTGGTATAATTACCGGAGAACGCCCTTTCTATCTACGCTGCAAGAGAGTCCAGGAATGGGTTAAGCTCCTCCTCCTGATGTCATAGAGCTGAGTCTGCCACTATAAAAGGCCCACCCCATCTTTTAGGCGAGGATACTTGACAGATATAACGTGTCTCTGGAAGATAAACAAAATTGGCATTGGTATAATTACCGGAGAACGTCCTTTCTATCTACGCTGCAAGAGAGTCCAGGAATAGGTTCAAAATTCATCTGCTTGGCAACTGACTTATTTATGACCTTTGCAGTGTCATGAGGTCATGTGATTAGCTTTTGTAACCTAACAAGCCAAGTCAATGGGGAAACCAGGTTCACTTAACAACTGTGTCACTAACTTAACCACTGCAATGACACACTTAACAGCTGGAAATAATTTGGGACAAACCTTAGCAATTAGCAACCTACATTCTGGGCTCAATTGTGGTTGTTAAGTAGAGGACTACCTGTATAGAAAGATTTAGAGTGTGTGGAAATGGATAAATTAACTATGGAATTAAAAGGGAAAACAGACACAGAATTCAACGCAGTATGGGAAACATGGTTTATTTGGGTAGATAATAGATATAAAAATAGAAAATGTAAATGATGTATATAATAAATAAGAGGGTATGAAAGTATTATGCATTGTAAGTTTGGATAGAACACATAAATGTATATATAATGTCACAGCGCTGTTTATGTATAAATGGGAAAAATCAATAAAGCATTATTTTTTTAAAAAGACGATTTGGAAACAATTTGGCTTGTAGTAATGTGCATTTTCTCAGAATCAGGACAAATGTACACTAGCCAATTCTATTGTGGGAAATTCTTTTGGGGTTTTTGGGAATTTCAAGATGAGGATTACACAGTTTGGTATCTATGGAGCTTCTCAGTCATCCACGTCATGGTTATCCCAAATGTGCCTTTTCAAGAGGCAACTGGACTTTCTGGTTTTTCTTCAAAAACCTTTGGCTTCTCATCCCAGAAGCTTCTTCAGCTCTGACTGGATCAGAATCAGAATAGAGCTGGAAGGGACCTTGGAGGTCTTCTAGTCCAGCCCCCTGCTCAAGCAGGAGACCCTATACCGTTTCAGACAAATGACTGCCCAGTCTCTTCTTAAAAACCTCCAGTGATGGAGCACCCACAACTTCTGAAGGCAAAGCCGTTCCACTGGTTAATTCTCCTCACCCTTAGGAAAGTTTCTCCTTAGTTTTAGATTGCTTCTCTCCTTGATCAGTTTCCATCCATTGTTTCTTGTCCTGCCTTCAGGTGCTTTGGAAAATAATTCAATTCCCTGTTTTCGATGGTGGAGAAGGAGTGTAAATCCTTCCATTCCCCACTCTTCTGTCAGAGCTGAAGAAGCTGCTTGGAAGAGAAGAGAAACGTCTTCAAAGAAAAACCAGAAAGTCCAGTTGCCTCTGGGGGGGGGGGGAAGCATCTTTGGGGGGGACGACACAAGTTTGATCATCGGAAATTCAACGCTCAGTTGCGGATCGTCACGGGGTTAATATAAGGTCGGCGACTGTCATTTGGTTGTGGCTTAGCTCTAGGCTACCAGATAAAATATCATCGCTGATGCGTAAAATGGGGGAGGTGGTTGGGTGGGACGACTACAGTTCCCAGAATCCCGCGTGTAACGGTGTATGTGCGTGGGTTGGATTTTGGCCGGCCATCAAAACACCGGGAAGGAGGAGGAGGAGGACTACACGTCCCGGCAGTCAGATGGCTCCTTGGACGCTCCCGAGCCAGCCGATCTGGCGGCTGAGATTGCGCGGTCGGCCATGGAGGAGGCGCGGATCTCCGCGGCGGGGCTGACGGAGGAATCGCCCTGAAGAGGGTCGAAGCGGTGGGAAGCCCCTCCCGGTGCGGGGAGGGGGGAAGCCGCCGTGGTGCTGTAGGTTTGATGCAGGTGAGGGTCGGCGTCGGCGGGATCGAGGGATCGGGGATCCCTTGCTAGAAGGCGGGGGGGCGGCATCCCTTTGTCTGGGCTTTTCTGTGCGGTCCGAGCCCTCGGAGGGAGGCAGAAGACCGAAAGGGGAAGCGAGCGAGCGAGGGGCTCCGGAGATTTGGGGGGTGGGGTGGGTGGACCCCTTTGTTTTCCGCCATGGGGAGAACCGGGCGGGGGTGGGTGGCGATCCGTGGGGATCCAAGCTAGGAGCTCTTTGGTTGCAAGAGGATCGTCCGGTCGTCCGACCCGCGGGATTGGCGGCGTCCCTCCAGGCTGCAAAGTTGCTCTTTTAGGGGAGGTTGACGGATTGACAAACCCGAAGGCCTGTCCGTTTTGAAGTGGGGGTGGGTGGGTGCTGAAGGGGGTCCCTGGGTTGGCGAGGAAGAATAAATGCAACCCGGGGCCATTTTCAAGAAAGGAATTCTGTACATTTGTGATTCTTGTTTCACTCAAGGGCACCGTGAGTGGAAGGAAGATCGTTAAATGTGGTGAACCGAGTTGCAGGCAGCTCAACTTTGGGAAGGGATAAAGGAAATCAAAGCCAAGGCCTTAAGTTTTGCACTTCTGAATACCCTGATCCAAAAGGGAAGTTTTTTTATTTGCATTAAACCGATGTCAAGCCGGTATGCATCTTTTGCATTGTCCTGGAACAAGCTAAGGTTTAGCATAGGGAGCCAATTGTATTTTATTATTATTTTTTAAAATATTTTTATTGAACTTTTTCCCATTTAAAAAAACAACACATAAAACAACAACACATATAAAAACAACATATTTACAGTCTTTGCATCAACATTTCCATTTAAGTCAATATATATATATATATATATATATATATTATTCTTTTTATTACTGCAATCTAACCAGTGGCACCATTTTCCCCATATCATATAGTGTTCCATGTCTTTTCTATCTTGCAATTCTAGTGTGAATTTGACCATTTCTGCACATTTTATCTGTGGAAATACTATCCAGTTTCCAACTTTGTACATCAGTTATTCTTGCTGCTGTTAGTACATGTATTATGATATATTTAATTTCTTTCTTAAATACCCCTCTGATTATCCCTAAAAGAAACATTTCAGGCCTAAGTTCTATTTGGAGACCAGTAATTTCTTGCAACCATTTCCTTATTTTATTCCAATATTTTTTTACTTTGGGGCAGGACCACCACACGTGAAAGAAGATACCTTGCTTACTTTTACATTTCCAACATTCTGGGTTTATGTTAGGGTATATTTTAGCCAGTCTTGCTGGTGCTAGATGGCAATGGTAAAACATTTTATAAAGGTTTTCTTTCTAGGCAGCAGCCATTTTTAATTTATAGTTTTTGTTCCACAGTTTTTCTTATTCCTCTTTGTATGTTATGACTGAAATTCCTTGCCCAGGCTATCATTGTTCCTTTGACTACTTCTTCCCTATAAAATTTAAGTAGGTAATTATATATTTTAGTTATGAATTTTTCTTCTGGTCCTGGTAAATTTTTGTCAATTTGTTGTTCTTTATCTATCCCAAATTCCTCTTGGTCTTTTTTTTTTGTATCTTGTCTGCAATTGTAGATAGGTCCACCAATCTATAATTATTCCCTCTTCTCTCAGTTCTTGGTTCATCTTCAATCTTCCTTGGTTATCTAGCAGTTGGTTGTATCTAATAATTTTGGTCATATCTAATGCATTTGGATAAATCATTGCTTCCATTATAGAAAGCCAACCTGGTATTTTTCTGTAGTGTTTTTTTTTTAATAATGCATTCCTAATTAAATGCTTTTGGAAGTGTGAATGTGTCTTGTTCTTTTTTTCCCATAAAAAGGTGTGCCATCCTATTTGTAAGTCTTGTCCTTAGTATTCTCTTGTTATTTAGGGATATCCAGTCTTTAATCCATGCGAGTGCTGTTGCGTGATAATATAATTCCCAGTCAGGGAGTCCGAAGCCACCTCTACTTCTACTGTCCTGTAGTAATTTTAGCCTTATTTGGGGCGTCTTCCCTGCCCATACAAATTTGGTTATCACCTTATTCAATTCCCCCCACAAAATTTTTTGTCTAATTTTATCGGAATCGTCTGGAATAAATACAACTATCTTGGTTTTTTTAATTGAAGCCATTTTCCCAACTAAAGATAGTTGTATTTTTTCCCATGTTTCCAAATCTTTCTTTGTCTGATTCATTAGTTTATTGTAATTATCTTCCTTTACTGTTGAACATCTTGCTGACAGCCAGATTCCCATATATTTAATTTTGTTTGTAATTTGCAATTCTGTTTCCTTTTCTATTCTCTTTTCTGATTTTTCTGTAAGATTTTTAACTAATATTTTGGTTTTGTTCATTTTAAGGCCTGTCACTTCACCAAATTCTTCTATTTCTTTTAGTAATATTGTCCCCACGTCAATTGGATTTTCTATATATAAAGAATACCAGATCATCCATCAATGCTTGTGATTTGTACTCTTCTTTTTTTAATCTTGATTCCTCTATTTTATTTATTGTGCAGGTAGTCCACTGACTTTGCTTGTCAGAAGATCGCAAAATATGATCACGTGACTCCTGGGATGTCATAAATATGAACCAGTTGTCGAGCATCTAAATATAGATCACATGGTGGGAATGCTGCAGTGGTCATAAGTGTTTAAAACGGTCATAAGCCCCACATTTTTTTCAGTGCCATTGCAACTTTGAATTTACCACTGGTTAATTATTCTCACTTTTAGGAAGTTTCTCCTTAATTCGAGGTTGCTTCTTTCCTTGGTTGGTTTCCATCCATTGTTTTTTGTCTTGCCTTCTGGTGCTTTGGAAAATATGTTGATTCCCTTCTTCTTTGTGGCAGCCTCTCAAATACTAGAATACTGCTATCATGTTCTTTTCTCTAGACTAGCCAAACCCAAATCCTACAACCATTCTTCATATGTTTTTGTCTCCAGGCCTTTAATCATCTTAGTTGTTCTTCTTTGCTTTTTCCAGAGTCTTAACAACTTTTTCTGTAATGTGGTGACTAAAACTGGAAACAATATTCCAGGCGTGGCCTTACTAAGGCTTTATAAAGCAGTACTAATACTTCACGTGATTTTGATTCTATGCCTCTCTTTATACAAGCGAGGATTGCATTTTTGACTGCTGCCACACACTGTTGGCTCATATTTAAGCGATTGTCCACTAGGACTCCGAGGTCCCTTTACCAGGCACTGGCCCAGTTTGGAGAGACAAGGAGGCTGAATCCATTTTCTTTGTCCTTTCAGAGGTTGGTGTCATTTAAAGATGTGGCCGTATATTTCACCGAGAGCCAGGGGGCTCTACTGGATCCCACCCAGAGAGCCTTATACAGAGAAGTCATGGTGGAGAATTACGAAAATGTGGCCTCCTTAGGTACGAGTCTTCCGCCTTTCTTTCAGCTAAACGGATATTAAAGGGCTGTGATCAATCTCCACTTCTCCCTTGTATTTTCAGGACAGTGATTTTTAATTTGATTTTCTGTCAAGGGTTTCCTGTGCCGAAGCCAAATCTCATCTCTCGTCTGGAACGAGGAGAACCACCTTGGTTGTTAGATTCTCAAGGGTTGGATGCCAACAGCTCAGGTGAGAGATGAAAAAAATATCATCATCATCACCATCATTTAACGACCCCATAATCCCTTGCAGGGTGGGGTCTGGGCAATTGAATGGAGCTAGCAGAGCATTTAAGAGGTGGATGCCCTTCCGGTCACCAACGTGTAGCTTTGTTCAGCAAATATATTGTGCCTAGAATGTGGAATATGTGCCTCTACCTAGGATCGAACTCACAGCCTCCTCAAGTGAATTATATTAATGCAAAACCAGAACTGAAAATCGCATGCCAAACCCCACCCCAAGTCTAACTTTTCCCTCTCTTAGATACCTCCCATTGCTGCCTCCCCAATGTCCAATCAAATTAAGATATGTTTTTAGAACGGTCACTTCAAGTGTGGTTTGGTATACAGCTGAGTTCCATTCCCAGCAGGCTGACTTTGAAGCCGCGTACGGTCAACTTTTCGTTTCCCTTGAATCCTTCCCCCTCCAATCCACTCCCCCTAGAGTTCATGGCAGACTGGCACCAAGCGGTATCACAATGCAAGGGTGAGGTGGCAGTTGACCCCTGGATTCTAGTCTGGTTCCTTAACCACTAGACCAAACTGGCTCTCATACTGATACCATTACATCTTTTGTCTTTCAATCTGCAAATTTAATGAGTATCCCACATGGTAAGATTTTTCTACATGCTGCCCATGAATTATTCTGCAGGTTTCTTGAATTTGTTACAATCCATCCTTGTTTAAGATCCAGATATTATTTATTTGAGTACATGTTCCTTTTCTCTTTTTAAACCTTCTATGCCCAGATTGTCTGATTTCTCTCTAACCTTGGTTTCAGCACAATTCTGTTTTCGTTATGTGTAATAGAGCCACCATTTCCTTTTCTTTCTGACTTTATTCCAAGAATAATTTTTGGAATATATTTAATAGGCTTATCCTGCCATTCTAGCTTAAGGGCTGTACTGTAGTATATTTATCATTGGAATTAACCTTAAACAATGTTTTAACACACACACACACACATAAACACACGACTTCTATATTGTATTGTTGAAACAAGTTCTATTCTGAATGTTTACATTTTAAATCATGTTTGTTGAAACTTAGTTCACATGCAAATAAATATCTCATTTGTGATAGATAGAGGAAGTACCTTCTCTTGATGGCTACTGGCTTTCTCCCCTTTTCTTATCATTTTTTAAAAATTCTGTTAGTTATTTTTAACGAATAAGAATTTTATCCCTAATTTTCATCAAACATATTTAGAACATATTATGATGTTAAACATAAAATGAATTCAATGCCACAAATTTCTTTAGAATCACAGGCGATGCAATATAAAGAAATTGTGTAAAACACCGTAAGTTTTATAATAAACTCTGAATAAAGCAAATATTTAGGCTATTCAGTTTTATAATAAACTTCAGTCTTTTCTGTTGGAATTAACTGTAATAGTGCCAATTACGAATGAACACTAAACTATACTAGTCCAAACAAATCTAAAAATGAATATAAGAATTAAAGTGCAAAAAAATCAGTGAAATTAGAAAAGGTCCAAAATAAAGTAAAACTAAGGACAGCCGTAATAGAAGTAAAGTTTATCTGTGAAGTTCAATTCATTTCATTAATATCTTCTAATTAATTGATTATGTGCCACAAGGTCCATGTTGACCCTAAATGACCACATAGATCCCCCCCCCCCCTCCCGCCTTCGCGAAATGGCTTCAAATAATTATTCCTTATTTAGGAGCTCCCTCTTATGGTAACAAGTATAATATCTTCATAGAATTTGACTGGACAAAATTAACTTGCCATGCTGGAAAAATGGAGTTAGACATAATTAATTAATATGTAAAAGCAGTAAAATGAGTAAATTAATATGTAGCAATTAATATGTAGAAGCAGCAAAATGAGCTCAAATGAAGCTAGCAGAATAACTCTATGCTCAATTACCCTCAATAGCAATAGGACTTAGACTTATATACCGCTTTATAGTGCTTTACAGCCCTCTCTAAGTGGTTTACAGACTCAGCCTATTGCCCCCAACAATCTCAAGCTAGGAACAATCAGGTGTAATTTGCATACTTAGCGGTATTTAAAATCAGAAAAAAGGAAAATATTATGGCTAATTGATGCAACCATTGCTAATCAATCACAATTTCTCACTTGGGTTTCTAGCATAAGCATAAGAAATTCAGTTTCTGTTCAAAATATCCCCTGAGTTGTACAGACAGTTTTGTGCCACAAAAAGCCAAATTAAACAGCAAGGAAGGAAAATTGAACATTGTCAAATTATAGAGTCCATTAGCTCATTCTAGAGTGTAAATCATAAATCTCAAACCAGTAAATTCCAAAGTTATGGGGAAAAAACATGAAATGTAGAAGCAGATTACAATACAGCTAAGAAAATATAATAACCTAGGAAAAAAGATAATAAAAGCTTGAACGTTTTAGTTTGGTTGGCTCTTGTTAATCTGAAATCAGCTGAAATTTCTGAAGAGGCATAACTCCATTAAATTTTCTTGTTTCCGGACTGCTCTTAATCAATAAACATGTCCTTTAGCCTCTAATTCTTGACTCTTGCTTAAAAACACACAACTGATTATAGGCAATCTTAGACTTACCACACTAGGGACCAGAACATTCATAGTCATCACGTGACAATTATACAATTATTTTTGCCACAGTTGTTAAAGAAACCACTGCAGACCATAAGTGAATCAGTCAATTAACTATGCTATTAAACTTCTGGCCAAGGTTTATACGATATTGACAAGGCCTTCAGTGACAAGGCCTTTATGATTAAAGGCCTTCAAGGATTGATTTATTTTTGAGATTTATAAAGCTACACAGATCAAACAATGAGGCTCTGGGTTGTGTAAAGTCCGGGAAAAAAAACTCAAACCCACTCGGTGTGTGTGTGTGTGTGTGTGTGTACACATAGATATATATATGTTTTCTTATGTTTTCACGGGTATTTATATGTATGGTATTTAGGTTTCTTCGGGTATTTTCCCACATTTTAATAGTTGTACTTTTAAAGTTATAGCGACGTTTCGGCAGAATCTCATCTGCCATCCTCAGTCTTTAAAAGCACAACTATTAAAACATGGGAATATATATATATATATATATATATATATATATATAAATGTTTATTACAAAATATCAGTATGAATTTGGCTATTGCTTTCCTATAGATAGATAAATAACTAAATGCTCATTCAGGAATTCCTAAAAATGTGTTGTCCCTTCGATTTTCAAGATTTGTTTCTCTCTCCCCAGGGGCATTGAGGAAAAAGAATTCCTGTCGTAAGTGTGGGAAATGCTTCGTTCAGAAATTGGATCTTGCTATGCACCGACTGGTTCACAAGGGAGAGAAACCTTTTAAATGCCTAGAATGCTCCAAATATTTTGTTCATCACTCAGAGCTCGTGAAACACCAGCGCGTCCACACAGGAGAGAGACCCTTTAAATGCTTCGAGTGTGGAAAGGGTTTTTCGCGGCAGTCCGTGCTTGCCAACCATCACCGGATCCACACAGGAGAAAAACCTTACGAGTGCCTGGAGTGTGCAAAACGTTTTGCTCAGAGGTCACAACTCATCCGACACCAAAGGGTCCACACGGGAGAGAAACCTTATAAATGTCTGGAGTGCGGGAAGTGTTTTGCCCGTCACTCGGTTCTCATCAATCACCAGAGAGTCCACACTGGAGAAAAACCGTACAAATGCTTACAGTGTACCAAATGTTTTGCCCGTCAGTCTGTCCTGGTGAGCCATCAAAGAGTCCACACTGGAGAGAAGCCCTACATGTGTCAGGAGTGCGGCAAACGCTTTGCTCATCAGTCAAACCTTGTCAACCACCAGAGAATTCACACGGGGGAGAAACCTTATAAATGCTTGAACTGTGGGAAAGGTTTCGCCCAACAATCCGATCTCGTGAAACACAGGAGAATCCACACAGGGGAGAAGCCTTACAAATGCCCACACTGTGGGAAGTCTTTCGCGATCCATTCAGAGGTCGTGACTCACCAGAGGGTCCACACAGGGGAGAAGCCCCACAAATGCCCGTGTGGGAAGTGTTTTGCTCAGCGTTCGGCTCTCGTGAGTCACCAACGTGTCCACACGGGAGAAAAACCGTACAAGTGCCTGGCGTGTAAGAGATGTTTCGCTCAGCTCTCCAATCTTGTGAAACACCAGCGGATCCACACAGGAGAGAAACCCTATGAATGCTTAGAGTGTGGGAAATGTTTTAGGCGGCGTTCCCATCTCAAGGTCCACCATGGAGTTCATTTGAGGAGTTAGACCCGGTGATGACGACCTTAAACGGGACGACAGCTTTGAAGGCCAAGGAAATGTTATTCAGTATAGTTCGGCCAGTGGTGGGATTCAAAAATTTTTTACCACCGCTTCTATGGACGTGTCTTGGCATGGTGTGGCTTGGTGGGCATGGCAGGGGAAGGATACTTCAAAATCTCCATTCCCTCCCCACCCCACTAACCTGCTTTCCAGCTCTGTTCTCCTGTGCAGGGCAACAAAAGAAGACCCAGCCGATCAGCAGAGGCAGAGAATAGATGGAGGCGAGGCCAGTCAGAATTGGTATTTGTCGGTTCTCCAAACTACTCAAAATTTCCGCTACCGGTTCTCCAGAACTGGTCAGAACCTGCTGAATACCACCTCTGAGTTCGGTGGACTCAAATGGAATACATTCTGAATAATTTACATGTAGTTTTTTTTTAAAAAAGGTTCTTGAAAATAACACTTCGTTGATGCCGATGGAGGAAGACAGATATACTGATGACACAAGTAATGTTGAATTCAAATGCACAACTAAATCGACTGAGGACAGTTTTAATGTCAGTTGCACATGGTGCTCTAGTGGCTCAGTGGTTAAAGTGCAGTATCGTAGGCTATCACTGCCCACAGCCACGAGTTCGATCCTGATGGAGCTCAAGGTTGACTCAGCTTTCCATCCTTTTGATGTCAGTAAAATGAGGAGTGAAATTGTTGGGGCCAATAATGCAAATAATGCTTACATTGTAAATCACCCAGAGGGTGCTATATCACAGAGTTCCCCAATCTTTCTGGGTTGATGGCCTGGAGGGAGGGAGGGGCAGGCGCCTTTACCCATGCATGTGCACAAGCAAACGGGGCTGTCACAGCGATGGTGGCACCTATGTGGCACTCGCAACGAAGCTAGCATGAGTGGGCAGATGTGCATGTGTACAAATGCCCACAATGGCCAGACACTCACATAGCCCTGTGTCCAATAGGACACCGTCCGGTAGTGGGCTGCAGCCCACAGATTGGGGATTCCTGTATATGAGATGAAACTATGACACGTGCCACAGGTGGCACGCAGAGCCATTTGTGCCGGCATGTGAGCTGCAGGCAAACTTACCTCACTGTGCGTGCGCGTGCCTCACAGATGATTTTCGGGCAGTTTGAGGCCTTTTTCGGCTTCCCAGAGGCTTGAGGAAGGCTTCTGCAGGCTTTACAGGCCAAAAACTAGGCCCATTTCATCACTTCCTGTTTTTCCGAAAATACAGGTGGTGACGAAACGGGCCTAGTTTTTGGCCTGCAGAAGCCTTCCTCAAGCCTCTGGGAGGCTGAAAAGACCTCAAACTGACCGAAAATCAGCTATGAAGTGCAGTGCAGGTAAGGGGGCGACGGGGGGTGGGTGGGGATTGCGCGTGCATGTGTAAGGGAGCGTGGGGGGGGCATGCATTGCCTTCTGGGTGCTGGCACATAAGTGTGCAAGCCGTGCACCATTTTTGGCACAGGAGCCCAAAAAGGTTAGCCACCGCTGGACTAAATGCTACTGCTGGTACTATGTAGAGCAATTGGTTCAGTTGTTCATGTTGTATCTCCCACAACGTTTTGGGTTCATCAGTTTGCCCATTGTTTATCTTTCATCAGAACAACCTCCCAAGTGTTTCCAAACAACAGCAACCTAGCCACAGAGACGAGTGTCAATACTTGAGTGGGCTCTATTGAAGTGGTGTTTTCGATGGCTTTTTTCCTGGTTGTCACTGCACCTTGTCAACGAAATTAAATACCATCTTCAGTGCATGACAACAAGATAAACACAAACACACATCCTTCACATTCCATACAATTGAATTGAAAACCCCTGATATTGCATTAATATTGCACTATACAGTAGAATTCAACAGAGTTATTACCCTGGGATGGAAGCTGTTTTTCAGCCTAGTTGTCCTTGTTTTTATTGTCCTGTACCGTCTGCCAGATGGTAATAGTTCAAAAAAAGGGTGCCCAGGATGAGATGGATTTTTAAGAACGTTTTGCACTTCCTTAAGGCAGCGGAAGCTATAAAGCTCTTCCAAAGAGAAAAGAGGTCAACCAATGACCCTCCGGGCAATGGCGCCAACCCTCTGGAGCGCTGTCCTATCTGCCCCTGTGCAATTGGCAAACCATACACAGGGGCATTAAGTTAAGATATTCTCTATGGTGCATGGAGGAGGATGCCTCGTTGCTCTAATGATACTCATGATTGCTAGTCTAAAGTGGTATAGAGGGGTAAAATATAATGCCGTATTCATCCTGTAACTTTCCGATGTGATAAGTGCAGTTCCCAGGATGCCCCAGTTAGCATGCCCCCCAATTTTTAAGTGTTATGCCTCCGCATAAACTTTGCATATGTAATTATGTATTTTTATTGCTATTGTTGTTCTTTAATGTATCTTGGGCTCCACTTAGTGGCCAAACATGTATCTTTATTGGGACCCAGCCCTTTAAGGGTCATCTTCCCAGCATCCCTCACTCCCAAAAATGCATCCTTGGGGATGCTGGACTCCTTTTACTTTAGGATTTGGAAGAAGCAGAAGCACCAGGAAGAATCCAACTGGGGCACATGTTCACCTGAGGACAAAAATCCGCATCATATGCACATGGCATTGCTGTTTCATCGTCCTGTTCCTTTAATAAATCATCCAGACCAAGAGTTCTTCAAATTTGGCAAATTTAAGACTTGTGGACTTCAACTCCCAGAATTCCTGAGCTAACATGACTGGAGGAGGAATTCTGGGAGTTGAAGTCCACAAGTCTTAAAGCTTTCAAGTTTGAAGAGCTCTGCTTTAGAGCAGTGTTTTTCAAACTTGGCAATTGGAAGACTTGAATTCTGAAAATACCTGGTGCAAGTTTTAAGAATTGGTACTGTGTAATTAAATACTAAATTGTGGGACAAGAAGGAGGGATGAATTATCTGTAAAAACTTTTGCCAGATTTCTCTGACTTGAAATTGAAATTGTCCTGGTTTGAGAAGTTTGTGATGTCTACAAGAATTCTTTTTTTTTTTTTGCATTAGTAATTTATAAAGCAGTTATTGTCATCAATTAAATATATAAAACAATCTTCTGGCCAGTTTCATCTTCCTTCCTTTTAGCAAGTTGCTGCTTTTAATTTAGCCTTTTTATGCTATAAGTTTAGTTGCATAGAAATCACAAAAGATACCACAGCCACTACACCGCAACCACTGAACATACCATTTTATTTATACATAATAAGCTCCAGTGCTTTAGTTAGACATGGTACTGTAATATAAAAAAAAAAAAAAATGGCTAGTCCGATTCAGAATTATGAAAATATGCCTTCAGTTTATGCATGGAAGGCAACTGATTGTACATTTTTGCAAAACTAAGTAACACGGGGGAGTGGGGGAGTTTCATTGCATTGTATGTCCCAGAGGTGCTTTTTTAAGAGACAACTGGACTTCCTTATTTTTTCCTTGAAGACATTTCACTTTTCAGCAAATAAGCTGCTTCAGTTCTTGGATGAGAAGTGAAGTGTCTTCAAGGAAAAAAACTGAAAGTTCAGTTGCCTTGAAAAAGCATCTTTGAAACAACCATGACCTGGATGAAAATTTTCAGATAATCAGAATTGGAAGGGACCTTGTAGGCCCAAGTGAGAGACCCTACACCATTTCTGACAAATGGCAGTCCAATCTCTTGAAAGTCTCCAGTGATGGTGCTCCCACAACTTCCAAAGGCAAAGCTGTTCCATTGGTTGATTGTTCTCTCTGTCAGAAAGTTTCTCCTTATTTCCAGGTTAAATCTCTCCTTGTTCAGTTTCCATCCACTATTCCTTGTCCGGCCTGACTGAGAATCTCCATAGACATTCCACTGTATGAAAAATATAACTGTCAGGACATGATGCTTAAACTGAGCCTCCATATTCAGGAATAACATATCTGAATAACTGCTATATAAATAAAATGTGATAGAAGACGACAGTACTTGCCTTCACCTTTATGTCTTACTCATGGGTCTCCAAAACAGTGGCTGCAGAGCATACTAACTGGGAGAGCCAAAGGTGCTTTTTATTTTATTTTATTTATTTTATTTATTTATTTAGTCAAGCGATTATAAGATAACACAGGGGTCCCCAACCACCGGTCTGTGGACTGGTACCGGTCCATGGAACATTTCCTACCGGGCCGCTGGTTTGCTGGGCGCCGCCATCTTGTTTGACGAGAAAGTGCTTCTGGGTGAGCTTTTCCGGTTGGAAAGCGGCATTTGGGTGCTGAAAGAATCCTCGCGCCTTAGTTTTATTGAGGGGGGGGCTTCAAATGAAACTAAGGCGCGAGGATTCTTTCAGCACAAAAGGCAAGGCGAGCCGAGCGACCGTCCCGAAGCGAAGCCCATCGACAAAGGTACAAAGGAGTTGAAGGTGGCAGGGAGAAGTGGGGGACGGCTGGCTGGCCGGTCGCTCGGCTCACCTTGCCTTGTCATGGGTGCTGATTCCAGTACCGGGCCGTGGATCATTTTGTGATGCCGGTACTAGGCCGTGGCACAAAAAAGTTGGGGGCCACTGAGATAACAGGTATAAGTATAAACATAGTTGTGAATGCATGAAATGGATACATATAAAGCAAAATAAAAAAACAATAGGACAGGGACGGTAGGCACGTTTTTTTTTTCCTTTGAAGACCTTTTGCTTCTCATCCAAGAAGATTCCTCAGCTTCTTGGGTGAGAGAAGAATCCTAGCTGGGGGAATTCTGGGAGTTGAAGTCCGCCCATCTTGCTGCGCCTAACATCGAGAAACGCTTTTGAAGTCGTGGAAGGAAAGGAAGACTACGAGTCCCAGAAGCGCCTCCGGTTCTATTCGTGGGAAGAGAAGCACATCGGACCACAAATCCCAGCGGCCATTGGGCCTTCCTGATTCCAGATTCGAAAGGCCGGATTGGCTGAGGGGCGACAAGACGCGATGGAATTGTCAAAAAAAAAAAAAAATGGAGGCGGCGGAGGCGCCCAGGCAGGTAAGGACG